AAAAAGAGGACACCAGCCGCGTGGCCCAATCATCTTCTTCCACCAGCAACCCACTTTTTCCTCCTACTTTTGTCTTTTTTCAGAAGGGTAAACCCTCTCCCGATAGCCTTCTTTTCCTTTTTAGCCTTTTTATCCTCCCTTATTGTAGGCTTTCCCCTCCTTTTTTTCCTTTTCCCCCCTTTTTTCAATGCTTGTTGTGGGTGGTCTAATTGGAGTAGTTGATCATATTCACAAAAGAAGTAATGTTGATTGTTGATATCAGATTAGTTTCTATATCCGGATAGTTGTTCTTTGGGGATATCACATAATTAGTGTAACATTGAGAACCAGCTACTCTTATTGTTGCACAGAATTAGGTTCTCTAATAGTATATGATTTCTTTGATTTGGTCTTCTTCTACGTTTTAGAGAATTCGTGAAATGAAAATCTATTAAATTAATTCATTGCAATTAAATTGGATGTAATAAAATTACTTTTTGTTCACACCCGCTGCAAAGCGCGAGCCAATTATCTAGTATATGTTAAAGGTTAACTATAACCATATGTTGATTGTTATATTTTATTCATCATATAAATTGTGAATTAATACATTAACCGAATATATTCTCACTTAATGATAATGTGATGTTATATTAATTATTCTAGTTAATCAATTTAACAAACCAATTAAGCCATCACATTATAATATTATCGAGATTCTCCCTATAACCACATCATCATTTAGAATAATAATATCCTAAACTTCATTCAGTTAATATTTATAATAATATACGATGTATTCATATTTTGAACATTTTCTAAAGTACATTAATCATTCAAACTATCACGAAGATCACACTCAATGTATTTCACCAAAACATAACTTCTAACTTTATCACTCATGGGACTGTAAAAGTGTATTTTCACGTAGTTTATTGATATAGATATAAATTTTCTTTCAACACTTATAGTGATGGCTGATAGCGACAACAGTCATATCAATAGTAGATGCATTGAATAAAACAACAAAGATTGCTTTACTATAGTAAAATATAATGAAATGAATGTATCAATACAGTAACTTTTAGTAAGAAAAGAGAATTAAGGAGACAATCTCCCGAAGACGATCAACAACCATTACAATGGTTCAGCACGAAAGAATGGCAGAGCCAGAAATGTTTACAAAGTAGTAGAAAATCTATTTTCACCGGATACCACTACTTACACTTTTCATGCTATAAAAGCGGGGAATCGGACTAAAACGTTCCATAGAGAAGGCATTAAATTTTTTTTTTAGTCAGTAAGATTTTATGTCCCTTCCTCAATTACAACAATTCAACTCAGTCCTTCTTGTTCGATTTTTTCCCCCTTATTTTTTACGGGATGAGTTAAGATGGTTACTAATTTTTAAGTAGCTATAGTGGCTACCTACATCTCCACTCTCCATTCTCAAGATTATTAAACTGACGGTCATTATTGAATAGGGATAATTTTGGAACGAAAATAATGACCACACTTGATTACTTTCCCTAAAATAAGATTTTCCATATATTCTCTCCAAACCCTTAATAACCCTATTCCTTTCCTTCCTTTTCAATCACTGATGTATACCTCCCCTTCCGCTTCAATCGCCGGCCGCCGTAAACCTGGCTACGCCAGCCCTCCCCTCTTACCATCTTTGTATTCAAACCCCCCATCAACCCTTGTGTGCTTCTAAATTCATGTTCCCCTTCTCCTTCCTCTTTTTATTCAACCCAACATCTTTTTATTCAAACCCTCATACGCCAAAAACTCTACCTCATTGCCGTGGACAACGTCCAGAAGATCATCATCTATTGTCTCTCTCCCTCCTCTCCTCCCCTCCCTTCTCTCGCAATTACTCTCTCTCACAAGCGGTTGAAAAAGGTAAAAGGTGGGATGAATAAAAACCCTAGATCTGATTTTTTGGCATTGGTAGTGATTTTTTCGTAGTGGTAGTGTTTTTTTCGCATTGGTATTGTTTTTTCCGCATTGGTATTGATTATCATGTAAGAGTATTGCTTTTTCTGTAGTGGTAGTGTTTTTCGCATTGGTATTGTTTTTGTCGCATTGGTATTGTTTTTTGCAATGGTAGTGTTTTTTTCCTCATATTGGTAGTGATTTTTTCCTATAGTCCTTGTATTGGTAGTTTTCGTAAATTGAGTGGTATAGATTGTTTATATTGGTAGTTTTCGTGTAATGGTATAGATTTATTTCTGCAATGGTATTGATTGTTTATGGTATAGATTGTTTATATTGGTAGTTTTCGTGTAACGGTATAGATTTATTTCTACAATGGTATTGATTGTTTATGGTATAGATTGTTTATATTGGTAGTTTTCGTGTAATGGGATAGATTTATTTCTGCAATGGCAGTTTTCGTGTAATGGTATAGATTTATTTCTGCAATGGTATTGATGTTTTTCAAAGTGGTAGTGTTTGTCTAATGGATTGGTACTGATTTTGTTTGTTTTTTTTTTTTTTTTGCAGAAAGATTGAGAAAAATATGGAAAGGAAATCTGGCTGGAGATCACGGAAGTGAGAGAAAGAGAGAATTTTAATTAATAGATTTTTGTAACTACCTAAAATGTAATTTATTAAAGAATTAATTAATGTAATTTATTAAAAAATTAATTAATATAATTTATTTTTCGATACCCAATTTACCCTTAGTAACCACGGTGATTACTACTTAGTAATCACTGTAACCTATCCCTATTTTTTACAACTAGATTGACAATTCAAATCTCACATTTATAAAAAAAACGATCAAAGAGATTTCACTTTTAGTTGGGTAGGATGTAAGCTAAACAAGAGAGAGTGAACATGAGAGACTTTTTCAAGTGGTTGCGGATCATAAATGAAATGGGCCGATTGAAAGAAGATTGTAACACACTTACTGGAGTAATCAACAACACTCAACAAGGGGGAAAAATAACGAATTTATGTAGTTCGTTAACATAATATGTGTTAGTTAGTTTATGGGCGGGAGAGCCAACTTCACTATATTTGAGTAGATTACATGCTATAGACCAGTATGAGAAATATATATATATGACTTCTCCTATTGCCTAACCCTAATTCAATATGGTAAATGATAAAGTTATAGACCAGGTCTAGCACAAAAGTCCAAACGTGTACAACCTCATATACCGTGGAGTAGGGGCGTTGTACTCGAAACCCCATCGAGCCCCCTAACCGGGTGCTTTGCCTTTGGACTCCGAATCCTTGGCCTAGTGGTAATATCACTAGTTTAGAACATGTAGGTCCGTGTTCGAATCACTTAAGTAGTACTTTAATCACAAAATAATGAAATCTATATTACCCTTATTAAAAAACAGCAAAATCTTCATAATTTTCAGTCGACGACAAATCATCTGATTCAAGTAATATCAATAAAGACGAACAAGGGCTTGGCCTAGTGGTAACACCACTAGCCTAGAACCTGGAGGTCCAAGGTTCGAATCCCTTAACTAGTACCTTAATAGCAACAAAATGAACCTATATCACCCTTATAAAAAAAAAGTAATATCAATAAAGCAAATAACAAACTATCATTGATTGGGTCTTCTATAAATTCACACATAATCTCAAAGTTAGACTGCAAATATTAACAATTGACTTCTCTATGACATGATTGCGTTGTTACTCCACTCACACGGCTATATAAACAGGCCCCTGGATCCTGCTTCAACATGCTACACCAATTCACCATCCCTCCTCCTCGCAATTTGCATAGTATTATAGATCAGAAAACCAAGCCACAACAATGGAGTTTCCTAGCTTCGATATCGTTGCCCTCCTAGCTTCACTCCTCTTCCTCTTCTTTGCGGCAGCAAACAGATTCACCATTTCCAAACCTTCCATTCTCACAAACCTCCCTGCAGGCCCTGCAACACTCCCCCTTTTAGGCAACGTCCACAACCTCATCTTCTCCTCCTCCGACCTCCACCGCGCCCTCCATCGATTATCACTAAAACACGGCCCACTCTTCCCGCTCAAACTCGGCCAAATCTCCATCGTCATCGTCTCCTCCCCCGAGCTCGCCAAGGAAATACTCAACGACCACGACATAACCTTCGCGCAGAGAGCTCCCCTGCTTTTCCCTGCCCTCATCTTCTACGACTGCTCCGACGTCCTGTTCGCCCCCTACGGCGACTACTGGCGCCAGGTCCGCAAGATCTGCCAGGTGGCGCTCCTGGGTCCGAATCGGGTGAAGTCGTTCGCCTCGATTCGGAGCCAAGAGGTCGAGAATCTGATCGAATCGATTCGCTCTGATTCGAGGCAGGGGACATTGTTGCCTTCGCCGGTCAATCTCACCAGGCTCGTCTTCCAGATGAGCTGCGGCGTGACGTCGAGGGCTGCATTTGGGAAGAAGTACAAGGACGAGGAGATTTTGATGTCGTTGACTACTGACATTATGAAGATGGCGTCAGGGTTGGGACTTGCTGACTTGTTTCCTTCTCATGGGGAAATGTTCAAGGCGATGACTAGGATGTTTGGTATGAAATTGAATGGGGTGATTCGTGGGGCGGATAGGGTTCTTGAGGATGTTTTGGATGATCACAGGAAGAAGAGGAGCAGCGGATTATTGGATGATGGAACTCGGGAGGATTTGGTGGATGTGCTTCTGAAGCTGCAACAGAGTGGTGAGCTCGAGGTTCCCCTGTCCGACAGCAACATTAAAGCTGTCCTCTTGGTGAGAAATTTCATTATTTATCATTCGTCAAAGACGACGTAGTACTGCGCGCCCATCGAGTTTTGTTATTTAGAATTTATTAATTGAATTTGCAGGATATGTTGGTTGCTGGGAGTATAACATCATCCGCAACAGTTGGGTGGATAATGTCTGAAATAGTCGGGAATCCTTGTGTCCTGAAAAGGGCACGGGACGAAGTGAGACGAGTTTTCGATACCAGAGGGAAAGATGTGGACCAAGAGATGGCCATTCGGGATCTTCATTTCCTGAAATGTTGCATCAAGGAGGCCATCAGGCTCCACCCGCCGGTTGCTATGATCGTAAGAGAGAGTCGCGCGAGCTGCAACATTTCTGGATACGACTTGCCGAGGAACACCATAGTTTCGATCAATGCGTGGGCGATGTGTCGAGATCCGAGATACTGGTCCGATGCGGAGAGATTCCTTCCCGAGAGATTTTTATACGAGAATAGTGTGAATTATGCCGAGACAGATCATTTCGAGTTCATTCCATTTGGCGTCGGAAGGAGGAGGTGTCCCGGAATATCGTTTGCGATGGCCAACATCGAGCTGCCGGTGGCCAAGTTGCTGTACCATTTCGATTGGGAGCTTCCCGATGGGAAGAGAAACCAAGACCTTGACATGGCTGAGAGCTTTGGTGTGGCTGTTAGAAGGAAAACTGATCTGGTTTTGGTTCCTATCCCCCACCATCCCACTTCAACCAACTGATGGGCGAAGATTGGAATCTTGTCTTGTGCAACAACAAAAAAACACAAATTATTCTCTTAGCATGAGAGTGTTATGCAGTTATGCATGTAAGACTATAGATAATTAGGTTTCTAAGCGAGTATTTTGCTTGTTGCTTGCTATACAATGATTTTGGTTTTAATGATAATAATATGTTGTATATGATTTTTTTGTTTTTGTTTACAATGACATAAGCAACAACTTAGTATAACGTACGATTAGGAGTAGGAGTGGAAATGGGTACGGTATTCCAATACCAAATACCGAAATCACGAATACCGAATTACACCCTAAAATCAATCAATCCCTAAATAATTTTGGTATCCCAATCCCAATCTCTAAATATTTTGGTATCTCAATCGGGGTTATCGAATACGAAATTAATTACGTTTAGAATTAATAATTAAATATATAAATTAGATTTGATTGTTAGAGACTAAGCAAAGATAGTTTGGCTACAGCTAGAATTATTAGACATATTAATTCGCAAGTTTTGGTTTAAGGGGTCCGGGCATATGCGGGCGGGTCTACCGCAAGTTTGGTACGCCCCCGACCCCATTTATTTCCCTTTTGTCGTTCGCCTGGCGATTGGGCAAGTTTCATCCTTTCCCTCTTGTCCTCCGTCGAATCCCTGGAGCTAGGTCAAGATGGAGCTAGCCGAGAATCGAAGAGCCAACACCAAACTTCTAATTGCCGATCAGATGAGGTGGATTCCAATCGAGTTCTGTGACTTTCGTGGCGGCTGGCGAAGTTGGGTTCGGAGATGGATCGCGTTTCCCCCTCTCCCAGCAAACTCTAATCAACCAGTCACTATGCGGGCTGGTCTACGGTAGTTTTTGTGCATCCGTTTTATTTACCCATTCTCCCCTGCGTTGATGGGCTGGCGGCTGGCCGAGTTTCCACCGAAACCATCACTTTCTTCCATCGTTTGTTTGTTCTTTCTGCTTCGTCGATATGGCAGCTGGCCCAGTTGTAACATGACTGCGAAGCTCCTTGCTGACTGTCGAAGTTCTCCGTCCCTTTCATCTCCATGGGAAATCCAAATCGACATTGCCACATTGGGCATCCGCAACACCGATACTGTATTTATTCCTATTAATGAAACAACCCTTGAAATAAAAATGGACGAAGACGGACGTCCGCTGCATCGAAACCAAGCTTGGAGGCGAAAGAGGTGAGGTCTGCCGTCGATTTTGAATCTCCATATCGGAGAGTTTAGAGAAGATGGATACAACTCCAAGGACAACAATGATGATAAGCCAATTTAGTGATTTTCCTCCCTACAACTACAATAGCTCCCTGCCATCCAATTTCCTTAAATTTCTTTATAACCCATTCCACTCCCCACCTTGATCAAAACTCTTCCCGGAAATCAGAACCCAATCCAAATTTCAACTCTGCCACTTCTCTAGCCAAAACATTCAGCAAGGTCTCCTGCTCAGCAATTTCATGGCTCGCGAATCGAGATATCTCTGCAATTGAGGTTTTAGCTTTTGTGGATAATAAGCCAGCCAAATTTTTTATTTCTATCATTTTCCCTTTTTCATTATCCACATTTGCATGAGTAATAGCTGTTTACTTCAAAGTGAAATAATGCCACTTGCTCACTCTTATGAATTCACTTCACCAAGATCATCATTAAAGTAAACTTTTCTTTTATAACCTCTCCTTTTTTTTTTGGTAAGTTTTTCTTTAGATTATAATTAATTTGAGGTCTTATCAATTCTCATCCAAGTTCTTGAGTTCCACTCCATACATACTTTACACATTCGAATAGGTCCATGTAATTTTAGTTATTTTCTTGGGTTACTTAAATTTGGTATTTGTAGGCATTGATAAGAAATAATAGTACAAAAATTCATGACAATAAAAAATTAGTATAGTTGAATTTTGCCCCGTAATAGTATATACTTGATATTGTTACGTTGTTAGATATAAATTTATTGTACATTTAGTTATATTAATTTTTATTCAAATTAATTGTCCAAATTAATAATTTGGAAGGTTTATAAATGACCATATCAGTATTTGGACTCAAGAGCATTAATTATGCATGGTGGTGATAGTTAAATTATGACTACCTATGTAGGCAAAAGAAATATGAAGTTACCTTAAAACGTGGGAAAAAAAAAACATTTGTAACATATCATAAGTTATGGGAATCACATCCAGTTATACTTCCATAGGACTATGTGAATAACCTAACTGTTCATTAAAATCTATAAGAATATATTATATTTGATCAGATGGGTTCATTTGGTTGCTTTTTTCTTTGTTTTAAAGAGAATACATGATATCAAAACAAGAATAAAATATATAAATTAACAATTCAAACGAAATCAATTTGAATCCAATCAAAAATTATCGAATTAAATTTAATTTGATGTAAAAGTAATTGTTTAGATTATCCGCAGCAAAGCGCGGGCCAATTATCTAGTATAGATAATTAGGAGAATGAAGGAGAGGTGACATCTCAAGTTTTAATTTGACGAATTGGAGGCTGAGAGAATACTAATACTAGTGTTTGTTTTTTGGTGTTATGAAAATAACAATAGATTGGTGGTTGATGGTCTTGTAGTAGTGAATGAGAGAGTCTAGTTGAGAATGATAAAATACACACTAGCTTATATTTCGATATTGTTCGGTATTTCTGTATATACCGATCTCAATCTCATAATCCGTAATACCGAATAACAATTGAAATTGAATCTCAATCCCAAAAAATAATACAAGTATTCGATAATACAAAAAATATAGACAAATTCAGTACAATATTCGGTATTTCCCGAATACCGCTACCAAACTTCGCCCCTACGTACTATGATATTTTGTTGTGTGCAAGTGCAAGTGAGCAATAAAACACTACTGCACTGCATTCCGCACAGATAACAATGATTTAACATATTCATGAATTTCCACAAAGTGAAGACGAAATATCTAATTTTTACAAAGTTTTCTATTTTCCAATTCGATCTCACCCGTTCGTCCGTATTTTGTCGATGATATCTCCGGACTTAAAACAGACATGCAGGATGATGCGATAATGCATGGCGGCCAAGCAAAGCCAGAGTTGTTCCTGTCGGGCATTGTTGACTGTTCGCCGGACTTGATAAGCTCTCTGCTCCGATGAAGGTGACAGACAGCTAGTTTAGACGCAGCACGGGAACAGCTTAAGAATAAACATAGTGGTCGGAGAAAAGTATTTGACCACGACCAAATCCCTCGATTGTCGATTTTGTCCCATTCTCTCCCCTGTCTTCTAGCTTCCCCGTGAAACCCATCTACAAGCTAAGACAGATGGTATAGTATAAGTTATAACACCTGGTGGGTGCATTGCGTTCTTCCGTTTAGACTCTCTAGGTAGGCGACGGTCGTCTCCTTGAGATATATTGGCACGTTATAACATGCAAAGCGACACCCGTCGAAATGCATGCAAAATTCTACAGCCCCCTCTGTTTTTTCGTCACCACGGGAGTCTTTGGATTCAGATTTCAGAGTGGCTGTGCACCTGTTGCAGGGAGCTTGTCGTGGTCTCTTTGTACCTTTTGATTTTGATCTTTTCGTTTTCTAAATTATTAAATATAATGGAATCTTCTAGAGTAACTTTGATATAATTTCAAATTAGATAACTTGTATAGATTCCATTACGTAAGTTTTCCGTAATGACATTTTACAACTGTTACGTAAAAGACACATTCATTACGTTAAGGTTACGGAACGATAATTATTTCTTACGTAACAGTTAAATCGGAAGCATCACGTAAGGCTTCCGTAATGACTTAGCTCTTTACGTAACGCGAGATTAATACTCATTACGTAAAAAGACCTCTCATTACGTAAAGGTTACGGAACAACAGTTATTTCTTACGTAACAGTTAAATCAGTAGTGCTACGTAAGGCTTTCGTAATGACTTAGCATTTTACGTAACGCGAGGTTAATACTCATTACGTAAAGACACATTAGATTACGTAACACTTCCGTAATGATCTTTTACAACTGTTACGTAAGATTATCATATGTTACGTAACCATTACGTAATGTATATTGTATTTTACGTAACGCGACCTGTGAAACCTGCTATAACAGGTGAAAAAATTCAAGTTACCTTACTTCAAATTACTATAAGAAATCCCTAAATATATTATGTCACCATATATATATATATATATATATATATATATAAACAAACCTAAACTGACATTTTAGTACAATGGAAAGCCATTAACAAGTGAATAACTTTAACAAATGTAAAAATTATTATGAATAGTTTTATATCAGACAGAAAAATTATTATTATTATTAATTAATTAATAGCACATAGCTAGGTGTCAAAAAATTACCCGACTCGAGTAACCCGCCCAACCAACCCGATTCGTGACCCGCCTGCAACCCGATTGGGCTAAAAGTCAAAGACCCGCAACCCACCCGACCAACAACTCGCTTGACCCGCAACCCGCGTAACCCGCAACTCACTTGACCCGCAACCAGCTTGACCCGAACCCACTTGACCCACAACCCGCTTGACTCGCAACCCGCTTGACCCGTAACCTGACTAACCCGAACCAGATTAACCCAACCCAAACCTGCCTGATTGACCCAAATTATACTACATAATATATTTTTGTGCATGAATATTATATGTAGACAATTAATATATATATATATATATATATATATATATATATATATATATATATGGTAGGTGGCTATTTCGGCATACTCACTTTCTTAGTGCACTCAGTGCACTCAACTCTAAAAGTGTCCATAATACATCAAATTTTGAACTTTAATTAGTACTCTCAATCTAATATGATGATATGACATAGAATCATAACAAATCAATCTATTACCCTAACCCCTTAACCTTCAATTTTGAATCCCAACCCAAAATTCCAAATTGTAAACCTAAACCCTAACCCTAAGTCCCCAAATCCTAAATCCTTCAAATTATTGTAAATTTTGAATGTTTTTTTTTCAAATTCATGTGCTTCTTGTTCATAACATCATAAGCAACAATTGATACCGTTTTGACATGAATCGCATGCTCAAAATGACAATTATGAGGCGGGTGCACTGAGTAC